GCACATTGTACCATTGTACCATATGATACCATTGTATGACATGGCACCATTGTACCATATGGTACCATTGTACCATATGGTACAATGGTACCATATGGTTCAAAACCATAGAATTCCTCTTCAGCTCCACTTCCATCAGTCTTAGAACTGTAAGTTGTGAAGAGGAGAGTCAGAATTCGCCCGGAGAGTGAGTGGGGAGTGAGAGCTTCCTTGCTGCCAGGTACGATGAACAAAGCTTCTTTGGTGGCGTTCCCACAATGCCATGTGGGCGTCCAGATTTTTTCTATAGTGTGCACACTGGCCACCCAGACCCATTCTCTCAGATGTAGGCCTACCAGCCTTCTCGCACTAAATTTGACACCGCTAAAATTTTGGCCTAGATCTACGGTTTGGACCCTCAACTTAAAGCTGTAGATCTTTGGCATGGACCCTGAAAGGGTTAAGATAAAATCAAAGAAAACTCAGATGAGTGTGTATAGATAAACGTGTACATGTATGTGTAGTGTGACCTAAGTGTAAGTAGAAGTAGCAAGACATACCTGTAATCTTGCATATTTAAGAGACAAACAAAAGACACCAGCAATCCTACCATCATGTAAAACAATTACAGGCTTTCGTTTTACACTCACTTGGCAGGATGGTAGTGCCTCCCTGGGTGGTTGCTGTCTACCAACCTACTACCTATAAATACTTATAGGTAGTAGGTTGGTAGACAGCAAACGCCCAGGAAGGTACTACCGTCCTGCCAAGTGAGTGTAAAATGAAAGCCTGTAATTGTTTTACATGATGGTAGGATTGCTGGTATCTTTTTTCTGTTTCATAAACATGCAAGATTTCAGGTACGTCTTGCTACTTCTACTTACACTTAGGTCACACTACACATACATGTACAAGCATATATATACATACCCCTCTGGGTTTTCTTCTATTTTCTTTCTAGTTCTTGCTCTTGTCTATTTCCTCTTATCTCCATGGGGAAGTGGATCAGAATTCTTCCTCCGTAAGCCATGCGTGTTGTAAGAGGCGACTAAAATGCCAGGAGCAAGAGGCTAGTAACCTCTTCTCCTGTATATATATTACTAAATGTAAAAGGAGAAACTTTCGTTTTTCCTTTTAGGCCACCCTGCCTCAGTGGGATACGGCCGGTGTTTTGAAAGAAAGAAAGAAAGACCTATAAATACTATGTACATACTATTTTCCCCAGCAACTTAAGAGATTACAGCGTTACAAAATTTGTTTCAGTACTGCTGTAAGCTTTCTTCATCTTAACTATGATACAGTAGGGCCCCACTTATATGGCAGGTAAGGTTCCAGGCTACCGCTGTAAAGCAGAAATCACCGTAAAGTGGAACACACTTTTTTTCCACTTTTTTTTTTTTTCAACAAGTTGGCCATCTCCCACCGAGGCAGGGTGACCCAAAGAGAAAGAAAATCCCCAAAAAGAAAATACTTTCATCATAATTCAACACTTTCACCTCACTCACACATAATCACTGTTTTTGCAGAGGTGCCCAGAATACAACAGTTTAGAAGTATATACATATTATAACACACAATATATCTCTCCAAACTGCCAATACTCCAAACCCCTCCTTTAGAGTGCAGGCATTGTACTTCCCATTTCCAGGACTCAAGTCCGGTTATATAAAATAAACGGTTTCCCTGAATCCCTTCACTAAATATTACCCTGCTCACACTCCAACAGATCATCAGGTCCCAAATATCATTTGTCTCCAAACACTCCTATCTAACACGCTCACGCACGCTTGCTGGAAGTCCAAACCCCTCGCCCATAACACCTCCTTTACCCCCTCCCTCCACCTATAAATGCATATAAGTAGGTAGTAGGTTGGTAGACAGCAACCGCCCAGGGAAGTACTACCGTTCTGCCAAGTGAGTGTAAAATGGAAACCTGTAATTGTTTTACATGATGGTAGGATTGCTGGTGTCTTTTTTCTGTCTCATAAACATACAAGATTTCAGGTACATCTTACTACTTCTACTTACACTTAGGTCACACTACACATACATGTACAAGCATATATAAACACACCCCTCTGGGTTTTCTTCTATTTTCTTTCTAGTTCTTGTTCTTGTTTATTTCCTCTTATCTCCATGGGGAAGTGGAACAGAATTCTTCCTCCGTGAGCCATGCATGTTGTAAGAGGCAACTAAAATGCCGGGAGCAAGGGCCCAGTAATGCCTTCTCCTGTATAAATTACTAAATTTAAAAAGAGAAACTTTCGTTTTTCTTTTTCAGCCACCCTGCCTTGGTGGGATACAGCTGGTTTGTTGAAAAAAAAAATGCATATCAATACTAGATAACAAGTTTAAACTAACATATACTATTAAGTTAGCAATAGAGCAAGGCATTAAAAACAATAAAGTAAACTACACATATAGTACACTCATTACTTACCTTAAAATATTTGTAGTCTAGGGTGAGATGAGTAATATTTACTGTAAGAAATTTACTGTAAGTGTGGTATGTATGGTAGCCAGCCAGGCTACCATACTAGGCCAACCCACTCACACATAATATTCTATGACATTTAAGCGTCCCAGAGTGATAAAATGCATATATAGTTCACTCATTACTTACCTTAAAATATTTGTAATCTTAATGTAGGGTCAGAGGTGAGTAAACGAGATAAAATGAATAAATGAGAGAGAGAGAATGAGTACTTGAGAAGACAGGTGCTGAGTTATGTAAACAAACCAGGCGGACACAAGTTTTGTAAACAAACCAGGTAAACACGTCTGGTTTGTGTACAGGTTACAATGTGTACCAGTTGTCTCTACGTTGATATGGTAGAATAGATAAAGAGGAACACTCCCATTCTAATGTAACACCATTTTTAGAAGAAATGATGCTCTGAGTGAAGGCATAGGAAAGGAATAATTTTCTATAGTTACCCCCAGTAACACATTTTCTCTTATGTTGGACTAGAGAAAATGTTATTCTTGCCACCACTTGCCCAAGTCATCTGGCTACCACATCTCATATTTATGTTTATTTATTCTTCTGTGGGGTGTACTTATCATCTTTATATGTTACGTATCATGTTAATTATATAATTTTGAAAAAAATATCATAGATGGATTAATGAAAATGTGCATATTAATGTAATAAACGACATTTAATGAGACTCGGTGATTATTATTGAGTATTATTATTATCATTACTAATATGGCATCTTGAGACATAAGACACTCTTACTGATTTTAATGTGTACCTGCACACCAGCATGGTGTGTAAGTTTATTTAGGTACAGGTATACACAAGTATAATTATCAGAGTACATATAAAATATGAAATAACTTTTAAAAGCACTTGAAATTTTGGAGTTTCCGGACATAATGGAGAGATGTGCTTACAGAGCTCACAGAGAATGTAAAGAAACCAGAAGGGGCACGGTGACTGTATTAAAAAGTCAGGTGGGGGAGCTGTATTGCAAGTTTTGGTCATAATTTGAAATGTCTGTATTAGCAGAACGCCATAAAGCAGGGCCCTACTGTACTTAACTAATCTTCTTCTTTCTTCTTTCAACGCACCGGTTGTATCCCACCGAGGCAGGGTGGCCCAAAAAGAAAAACAAAAGTTTCTCTTTTTAACTTTAGTAATGTATACAGGAGAAGAGGTTACTAGCCCCTTGCTCCTGGCATTTTAGTCCCCTCTCATGACATGCATGGCTTACGGAGGAAGAATTCTGTTCCACTTTCCCATGGAGATAAGAGGAAATAAACAAGAACTAGTAAGAAAATATAAGAAAACCCAGAGGGGTGTGTGTATGTATATGCTACATGCATATGTAGTGTGACCCGAGTGTAAGTAGAAGTAGCAAGACGTACCTAAAATCTTGCATGTTTAAGAGACAGAAAAAGACACCAGCAATCCTATCATCATGTAAAATAATTACAGGCTTCCATTTTACACTCACTTGGCAGGGATGATACTAGGATCTGCATGAGGCTGTCATCTGCTGAGGACGCGGTTAACCTCCAAGAAGATATAAACAGTGGGCAACGGAAAACAATATGATGTTCAATGAGGACAAATTCCAACTACTCCGTTATGGAAAACTGGAGGAGATAATAACTAGAACAGAGTACACTACAAACTCTGGCCATACAATAGAGTGGAAAAATAATGTAAGGGACCTGGGAGCAGTAATGTCTGAGGATCTCACTTTCAAGGATCACAACAGTGCCATGATCACAAGTGCAAAGAAAATGATAGAATGGATAATGAGAATGTTCAAAACGAGAGATGCCAAGCCATTGATGATCCTTTTCAAATCACTTGTTCTCTCTAGGCTAGAATACTGCTGTACATTAACATCTCCATTCAAAGCAGGTGAAATTGCAGATCTAGAGAGTGTACAGAGATCCTTTACTGCACGTATAAGTTCTGTCAGGCACCTTAACTACTGGGAATGCTTGGAAGCACTTGACTTGTACTCATTGGAATGCAGGAGGGAGAGGTATATCATAATCTACACTTGGAAAATCCTGAAAGGAATGGTCCCAAATCTGCACACAGAAATCACTCCCTATGAAAGTAAGACTGGGCAGACGATGCAAAATGCCCCCAATTAAAAGTAGGGGCACCATTGGTACACTAAGAGAAAACACCATAAGTGTCCGGGGCCCAAGACTGTTCAACAGCCTCCCATCAAGCATTAGGGGAATTACCATTAAACCCCTGGCTGTCTTCAAGAGAGAGCTGGACAGATACCTAAAGTCAGTGCCGGATCAGCCGGGCTGTGGCTCGTATGTTGGACTGCGTGCGGCCAGCAGTAACAGCCTGGTTGATCAGGCCCTGATCCACCGGGAGGCCTGGTCATGGACCGGGCTGCGGGGGCATTGATCCCCGGAATAACCTCCAGGTAACCTCCAGGGCAGTAGTACCTCCCTGGGTGGTTGTTGTCTGCCAACCTACTACTTAGAATTCCACTTTTATTTCAATAAAATAAAAATATCAAATGAAAAAATCTTACCTAGTAGCTTGTAAAATTTCCTCTGGCACAACAAGTGAATTAGTAAAAGTCCTTTTGGGCTTGCCAGCCTGTTTAACTAGGTCTTGAATGGCTTTAATAATAAGCTGGCATTCCTTCACACCCATTCTGATGGCCTTCATTAGATCTTGTTGAAGAACATTATTTCCTCCACCTTCCAGCATAACTACAACAAAGCAAGCAAGTAGTAGTATTACAAAATTTATACTAAGAAAACAGAAAAAAAGGTGAGTCATGTAACTTTTGGACAGGCCATGATCCTAAAGTCAAATTTGGTGATTAACACCGACAAGTATGTAAGACAGGCACATATGCAGGTAGTAAAACATATATCGAGGATACGTTCTGCCCACCGCTGAAGAAGCCCTTGGTGGGCTGAACAGTTTCTCAATTAATGTCTTAATACCCACATATGTGTCTTAGGCTATGAGTCTGTTATGCCTAGTTCATATATTACATCCACATCCATAGAGGTACTTAATGTGAATGCTGTCTACTTGGAAAACAAAAGCATGAAACAAGTGGTGGTGTATTAGTGTCCTCTGCACAGGCACATCATATAAGATTATCTTTCAAGACTTAATCACTTCAAGCATAAGCCATATTTCATTTGAACAAGAGATGCAGAACCCTTCAATATATACTGAAAGATAAAGTAAACACTAAGATCACAGCAGAGTCAAACCTTTATATTTGCAACTTACTTAATTTACTTTGCCTTGATTATCCAATACACATGCCAAATGATGAACACCCTTAAGGCACTGAAGTCAATCACACTTTGCTTGAAAGTCAAACACTCTGATTATTCTCTTCTTGCAAACTTCTTAGGTTAGAGAAACACTAAACAATAATTTCAAGACAACTGAAACGTTAAGCTTACACAATTTTTTTTTTTCTAACACATTGGCCATTTCCCACCGAGGCAGGGTGACCCAAAAAGAAAGAAAAAACTTTCATCATCATTCAACAAAAAAATATATATTATATAACAGAAAACCCTGCCATTCTCCCAATTCTGAATCCTAAAGAATGTGAACAAAATTATTTTTACACAAAACCTTTACCGTTAATGGCTATGTTTACAAGGAAGACTAATAAATCCTTACCCTTAACCCCCTTCAGGGTCCAAGGCCCAAATCTGAAGTGGTGCCCCAGTGTCCAAGAATTTAAAAAAAAAAAATTTGTTATTTTTTCTTATGAAATGGTAAAGAATCTTTTTGTGAAGGTAATAAAACAAAAAGTACGAAATTAGATGGAAAATTGACGAAATTATGCTCTCGCGAATTTTGATGTGTCAGCGATATTTGCAAATCAGCGATTTTGGCGACTTTGACTCCCATTTTAGGCCAATTCCATTATTCCAGTCAACCAAATTCTTAGCTATTTTACTAGTATTACTTCTATTCTATCGATTGAGCACAAGAAATAGCCAAGTCAACTGTTTCAACTACAAAATAAAGTGATCGGAAATTGTTAATTTGGCCAATTTAACACAAAGTTCAAAATATTCCAATTTCAAAATAGGGTCCAGAATAAACAATGTAGGTATTCCTGGAACTAAGCTAACATTTCCTCTGTTCATTAGTTACATTTTGAGGCTTTACAAATAAATTCCATTTTGATTTTTTATTCACATAATGAATTTTTATTCACACCAAACAACAGAAGATTTACTGTTATGCAATACTGTAATAATTGTATAAATATCATCACCATATTTGTGAATGTATATTAGACCCACCAGCTGATGTGTATTAGACGTGTGAGGTCGTTTGTTTACTCTTGAATATCGGCAAAAATTTAACATTTCCGCTACTTTGAGCTCAGTTTCAAGCCATTTCCAGTGCTAAAACCAATCAAAATCATCTCAATTTCTCTAATATGTCTTCCATTCTATCAAATGAGACCAAGAAATCGCAAATACAACCATAAAAAACATACGAAAAACACTGCAAAGTCGGTTTTAATCGAAAAATCATGATTTCAGTTTTTTTTCTCTCATTATACACAGTGTGCTGCAGGATCTGTTTTATGTGGTGCACACATACCACATAGATGTATTCTCTCATATCTAGGCCCAAATGTACCACTCACAGTTTATCAGAGTGAGCTGAGCTCATGACATAGATCTGCGGTTTGGACCCTGAACGTAAAGCCGTAGATCTACGGGACAGACCCTGAAAGGGTTAACCAGGAGCCTCTCAGTAAGGTATAGTATGTTTACTGCCAGCAATAAAGATACCTAGTGCTGCATGTGTGTCTTCCTCATCAAGAAGTCAGTACTGCATGCCTATAATGAGGTAAAGTACTACTGAGTGGGTAGGTAAAAATTGCTAAATGCATCCTCTTTTCCTTAAAGTATTACAGGTGAATTCCTGTATATGTAATTTCCTTAAGGTCTATCCACACACACACTGACTGACAAATGCATTATGACCTATAAACTTTGCTTTTATTCAGTAAATTCCAACCAGGGTAATTTGTAAACAGTGGAATGTACAGTGCCTGCACTCTGAAGGAAAATGTGGATGTTAGAGTGTGGAGGGTCATCTGAACTGTGATGTCAGTGCTCTTCTAGCAAGACAGTGATTGAATGAGTGACAATGAAAGTTTTTCATTCTTTGTCGGGTCACCCTACCTTGGTGGGAGGCAGCAATAAACACTGGTACAAACAAACCCACATGGAAATAATAAAACCCAAGATGAATACTGGAACTACATACAGTACTCTACTTGGGCTTCAGTGTGAGAACGAAATATACAGTATTCCTTGTATCTTATTTTACTGTCTCCAGGTGGGAATGCTTTGTGACAGGCTTGCACATTTGATTAATTTTGAAACTTACCAATAAGCTTACGTTCAGCACCACTAATAACTAGATTGAGGGAACTCTTGGACAATTCTCGTCGGGTGGGTTGGATAATTACCTCTCCATCAATTAATCCTACACGCACTGACCCTACTGGACCCATCCATGGAATATCTGATACTGCTAGTGCTGCAGAGGCTGAAAATAAGCAGGAAAATGTAGTTATACTATTATATTAAAAATGTTACTTTTGTTCATGCTTTAGTGGTAAATTAGTATTGTACCATTATTATTGTGTATGTGTATTTATGTGACATTATGGGTCATACAGTGAAATATTTGGTGGAAACTCAATCCTTTGTCTCTTAAGATAGCACAATAGGTTGCTTAAATTTATAAATCTAGGGATGGTTAAAAAAAATAAGGACTATCTGAGGAATGATTAGAAGGAAGCATAGATGTTCACTTGGAGGGAAGGCCATGTAGCGATGGGGGGGTGGGGTTGAAGGCAGCAGATGCCCTTCCATAGAACAAGCATCTGTCAAGGAAAAGCAACCACAGTGATGACTTGCTTATCCCATGTCCATTCCTTGGCCCTCCCCCACCTCCTAAAAAAGTTTCAGTAGATGTCAGTGAGAGAGGAGATACAATAAATATTGAAAGATGATAAAATGTTTGGCAGGCAAATGTGAACATGTTAAATTTATGAGAGCCAGCAAGTGGCCTTAGTCATCTGAAATAGCTATAGTGTGAGCATAGTAACAGCTATGAAAGGAGTTGCCAAAGCATTTTAGTCAAAACTAAATTTTGGAGGTAGGATGTAAAATTTTTAAGTCAGTCTGTATTTACCTGAACAGATTAAAGGGAAAAAAAAGTTAGGATAAGCGTGTTTTCTTCTCTGAGTTATTCTTTAGTGGGAAACAGCCAATGTATACAAAAAATAAAATATACAAGTACAGTGGACTCCCAAGTTTCATAAGCCTCGCGCTTCGTGAATTTCGACTTTCGGCAACTTTTTTCATTAAAATAAAGCCTCGCAGTTCATGATTTGTCTCGTGATTTGTCCGTCATACGAAATGCGTCCGTGCGTACACAAAGGCTCCCACACATCGTTCAGGAGTCAGTGTGACACTGCCTGTGGACATGTTCATACGATACATTTCATAATAATCTGTTCTTTTTTGTGCTTGCAACTGCTAAATAAGCCACCAAGGGCTCAAATAAAGCTTCTAGTGCCAGCCCTTTGGTAAAGAAGGTGAGAAACATGACAGAATTAAAGGAAGAACACACCAGCCAGGGTACTTCCCCACACACACGATTTTATTTTAGTGGGACTTGCACATGAGTGAATAGAATTATCAAAGCTTATTGCTTGGGCAGCATTGAAAATTGGGTTGAACAAATATTGTTAGTGGGATGGTTTGTGAAGGACCTGCCTAGTATGGGTCAACAGGTCTGCTGCAGTGTTCCTGCTTTCTTATGTTCTTATGTACACGAGTAAGGGTACTTCCCCACACAAATGAGCCAGGGTACTTCCCCCCACACACGATTTGATCTGAGTGGGATTTGTGCATGAGTGAATAGAATTATCAAAGCTTATTTCTTACCTGGATTACCTGGAGGTTATTCCAGGGATCAACGCCCCCACGGCCTGGTCCATGACCAGGCCTCCCGATGGATCAGAGCCTGATCAACCAGGCTGTTACTGCTGGCCGCACGCAGTCCAACGTACGAGCCACAGCCCGGCTGATCCGGCACTGACTTTAGGTATCTGTCCAGCTCTCTCTTGAAGGCAGCCAGGGGTTTATTGGCAATTCCCCTAATGCTTGATGGGAGGCTGTTGAACAGTCTTGGGCCCCGGACACTTATGGTGTTTTCCCTTAGTGTACCAATGGCGCCCCTACTTTTTATTGGGGGTATTTTGCATCGCCTGCCCAGTCTTTTACTTTCGTAGGGAGTGATTTCTGTGTGCAGATTTGGGACCATTCCTTCCAAGATGTTCCAAGTGTAGATTATGATATATCTCTCCCTCCTGCGTTCCAACGAGTACAAGTCAAGTGCTTCCAAGCGTTCCCAGTAGTTAAGGTGCTTGACAGAACTTATACGTGCAGTAAAGGATCTCTGTACACTCTCTAGATCTGCGATTTCACCTGCTTTGAATGGAGATGTTAATGTACAGCAGTATTCCAGCCTAAAGGGAACAAGTGATTTGAAAAGGATCATCATTGGCTTGGCATCTCTCATTTTGAACGTTCTCATTATCCATCCTATCATTTTCTTTGCACGTGCGATCGTGGCACTGTTGTGATCCTTGAAAGTGAGATCCTCAGACATTACTACTCCCAGGTCCCTTACATTATTTTTCCGCTCTATTGTATGGCCAGAGTCTGTAGTACATATACTCTGTTCAGTTATTATCTCCTCCAGTTTTCCATAACGGAGTAGTTGGAATTTGTCCTCATTGAACATCATATTGTTTACCGTTGCCCACTGGAAAACTTTGTTTATATCTTCTTGGAGGTTAACCGCGTCCTCAGCAGATGACAGCCTCATGCAGATCCTAGTATCATCCGCAAAGGATGATACGGTGCTGTGATGTATATCTCTGTCTATGTCTGATATGAGGATAAGGAATAAGATGGGGGCGAGTACTGTGCCTTGTGGAACAGAGCTCTTCACTATGGCAGCCTCCGATTTAACTCTGTTGACCACTACTCTTTGTGTTCGATTTGTTAGGAAGTTGAAGATCCATCTCCCCACTTTCCCAGTTATTCCTTTTGCATGTATTTTATGGGCTATTACACCATGATCGCATTTGTCAAATGCTTTTGCAAAGTCTGTGCATATTATATCTGCATTCTGATTTTCTTCCAGTGCATCCAAGGCCATACCATAGTGATCCAGTAGTTGTGAGAGGCAGGAGCGACCTGCCGTGAACCCATGTTGCCCTGGATTGTGCAGATTTTGGGAATCCAGGTGATTTGCAATCCTGCTTCTTAGCACTCTTTCAAAGATTTTTATGATGTGGGACGTCAGAGCTATTGGTCTATAGTTCTTAGCTAATGCTTTGCTGCCACCTTTATGGAGTGGGGCTATATCCATTGTTTTAAGTGACTGTGGAATTTCACCCATGTCCAAGCTCCTCCTCCATAGTGTACTTAGGGCACGCGAGAGGTTTTTCTTGCAGTTCTTAATGAAAACAGAGTTCCACGAGTCTGGGCCCGGTGCTGAGTGCATGGGCATGTTGTCATGGCTTTTTCGAAATCTATCAGAGTTAGGGTAATGTCGGAAATCTGGCATACATTTATGGAGTTTTGAGGCTCATTCATGAAGAAATCATTTGGGTCGTCGATCCTCAGACCGATTAGTGGTTCACTAAACACAGAGTCGTTACTGGGATTTCAATATTTCATTCATTTCCTTGTTGTCATCTGTGTAAGTCCCATCCTTTCTGAGTAGGGCCCGATACTAGATGTGGTATTTGCCTTGTTTTTGGCATATGAAAAGAAATATTTTGAATTTCTTTCAATTTCACTAATAGCTTTAAGCTCCTCCTGTCTCTCCTGGTTCCTGTAAGAGTCTTTTAATTTAAGTTCGATAGTTTCCACTTCCCTGGTCAGCGCCTCCTTTCGTGTATCGGATATTCTAGCACTCCTGAGGAGCTCAGTGACTCTTCGTTGTCTTCTGTAGAGGGAGCGTCTTTCTCTCTCCAGTTTACTCCTGCTCTTCTTCTTTCTTAGGGGAATATGCCTAGAATATGCTTTGGCTGCCAGGAAGTTGATCCTTTCAAGGCACTGGTTTGGATCCATGTCATTTAAAACATCTTCCCAACATGTTTTGTTTAGGACATGGTTTACCTGGTCCCAGTTGATGTTCTTGTTGTTGAAGTTGTATTTTGTGAAGACACCTTCACAGGTACATGCATTCTGCTGATCAGGACCCCTATGCATGTACGTCTGGACTTTGATTAGGTTGTGATCGGAATTAGTTGTTTTTGATATTCTTATGTCTCTTATCAGGTCCTCATTATTTGTGAAGATAAGGTCAAGTGTGTTTGTGTTTTCTAGTCTTGTTAACTCCACTATCTGCTGGCTTAAGGTGTGTTTTTCGCAGAGACTTAGTAGCTCATGTGTGTGTGACCTTTCATCTGAGCTACCTCTGGGGATTGTTTCAGCTATAATATTATTTGCTACATTCTTCCATTTTGTATGCCTTAGGTTGAAATCACCAAGCATTGAAAATTGGGTCGGGCAAATATTCTGTTAGTGGGATGGTTTGTGAAGGACCTGCCTAGTATGGGCCAACAGGTCTGCTGCAGTGTTCCTGCTTTCTTATAAGGTCCTTCACAATTCATCCCACTAACAAAACATTTGCCCAACCTAATTTTCAATGCCACCCAAGAAATAAGCTCTGATAACTCTATTTACACAGAATTCTTCCTCCGTAAGCCATGCGTGTCGTAGGAGGTGACTAAAATGCCGGGAGCAATGGGCTAGTAACCCCTTCTCCCACCGAGGCCTCCCTGCCTCGGTGGGATAAGGCCGGTGTGTTGAAAGAAGAAAGAATTCTATCCACTTGTAGGTAGTAGGCTGGTAGACAGCAACCACCCAAGGAGGTACTACTGTCCTGCCAAGTGAGTGTAAAATGGAATCCTGTAATTGTTTTACATGATTGTAGGATTGCTGGTGTCTTTTTTCTGTCTCTTAAACATGCAAAATTTCAGGTATAATTTCCTACTTCTACTTACACTTAGGTCACACTGCACATACATGTACAAGCACATATATACACACCCCTCTGGGTTTTCTTCTATTTTCTTTCTAGTTCTTGTTCTTGTTTATTTCCTCTTATCTCCATGGGGAAGTGGAACAGAATTCTTCCTCCGTGAGCCATGCGTGTTGTAAGAGGCAACTAAAATGCTGGGAGCAAGAGTATAAATTACTAAATTTAAAAAGAGAAACTTTCGTTTTTCTTTTTGGACCACCCTGCCTTGGTGGGATACGGCCGGTTTGTTGAAAAAAAAAAAAAAAAACTATCCACTCTCATATGCAAGTTCCACTCAAATCCAACCCCTCTCACTCATGTATTTATCCAACCTAAATTTGAAACTACCCAAGGTTTTAGCTTCAATAACTCAACTAGGTGGACTGTTCCACTCATCAACTACCCTATTTCCAAACCAATACTTTCCTATATCC